TTGTGTGAATGTGTGTGCGCACTGGGAGGGGGTTTCCCATTAAACGTTTTAAGCTGACCCAGACAGGATGTAATTGCAGGTTGGTTCTGCAGTAAGGTAAAATCAGCGGGTTTGTACGTGGGGCTGTTGATTTTATGTGTGGGCTGCCTCAAGAAGCAACAGGTTGTGTACTGTGTGGGAGATAGAGAGGACAGAGCGGAGAGTGACAAGAGAAAGGCCCCTTTTATTGATGCTGAGCGTTGAAAGAAGGAGAGGAACAGCTGTGTGATGTGTCTGTATGAGGAAACGACAGAACACGTAGCTATTCACATCCTTAACTTGTACTTCTAATCATTGTTATTATTATTTTACTTTCTTTTTTAATGTCTAAGCGAAGAACAGGACATAAGCATACATGTGTAGTCAAATTAAAAACACATCGTTTTATACTTCTATCCCAGCATGATTAATGATAAGAATAATACAAATAAATAATAATACCTTTACTTTTATAGCGCATTTCAAAATAAGTTACCAAGCACGTTACACACAATTAAAAACCAATAAGCAACAGTTGATTAAAAAAAAAAAAACTTCAGAACACAACACATAATAACAGAACAATAAAACCATAAAATCAATTAAAGTAAGTCTCAAATAATCATTTTTCAAAAGTGACCTTTAGAAGACAGTGTGTTAGCTTCCCCAATCTCCTCCTGCAGGTCATTCAATAACTATAGTACACACAAACAATTAAAATGAGCTACAAAAACACACATAGGCCTATCGGAGAAACTGGTTGCCAAACATAAATTACATTTAAACATACAAACACTTAAATAAGTATGCTAATTGTGCAGTGTTTCAGAGATTCATATCACTTTACTGGATTACTGTTCATGATCAATTCATATTTAAGCTGCATTTTGATGTTAGAGATGATCAACAGGAGCCAATCTTTCTACTTTATGAGCTTTTTGTATCCTAAACTTCACTAATGCATCATTTATATTCAAACTCAACTATCTCATCTGCATGAAAAGGCAGCCCGACTCCTAACTGGGACTTTCAGAGGACCACAGTCATCCATTAAATCACCACGTTCAGCTTCTGCCTTCAGAAGTAAGGTACAAAGTCCCTTCTGCAAAGAAAAATATTTGTAAAAAAACATTTGTTCCAGTTGCTTTTAAATGTATTTATCATTGAGGAAAATTCAAAGTCAGCCTACTACCTCAAACTGCTGCACATGTCATTTTTACATTTTTGTTGAACATCCCTCTAGTACAAACTATGAAGAACCTGCAGCCCTATTATGTCTGTTTTTATGTCATTCTTTGTGTATATGTTGTGTTTAAAGTGTGTCTATTTTTTTTTTTTAAATGTGGCACCTTGTGTTAAAGTGATAACTTTTGTTAAATGGCATGTATCTTCACACACAACATAATTAGAATTAGAATAATTTAGACTATACTAATGTGAAAGATTAGTTCAGCAAGTAGCTCAGGTGTGGAAAAATATTATTGAATATGTTGGGGTTCTGCATGTAGAAAAATGTAGAAAATAAAGCTATAAAGTAGCATTCAATGACAGTGATGAAGTACATGTACCCATAAATGTGCTGATTTTATTGTAAACATTGTATATGCACAAGAAATTATTGCTTTGCCTCAAAGGTATCCACAACAATTAATCATTTCACATTGTTTATATTTTCAGTACTTTTATTCAAATATTTTTTTTAAAAAGCAATGTGACCAGGATACAACCAACACTGCAGCTGAATCATGACCTGACTTTTTCCTCATGCGCTCAGACACCGCTGGACGTCTGTAGAAAGCACGTTTGAAAGTGAGAGAGAAACGAGAAGCACCAAATCTCCCCTCAGCTTCATCACAGCATTTCACATCAAAATGCTTTCATCTTTATTCTGGTTGGACTAAAAGTGTGTGGGTGGTGTGTGTCTACAAAAAAAGCTAATTTTCTCAGAGCAGTACAGTCACATGTTGGGTGGCTCAGCCATGCAGGGACAATTATTGTTGTGTTAACCGTCATTATTGGGACAATTTGAAGGATATTTAATAGTTTTACCTCCTGGTAACCACTTAAAAAAACATTTGACCAAGCATCAGAAAAAAGCCTGCCTTTTTTTTTTTACCCTTAACAGGGTAAACAACACAAATCAAAAGCAATTTTCTAATCACAAATATGTAAATCTGCTCCGGTAAACTCTGGCTGCTTCAACACAATGTTTGAGAAAAACTGCTTTGATTTACCTTCCAGATAAGAGATATTTATTCAATTGAACCTGCACAGATGTAATGCACATGCAGCAATCTGATGGTACTCAACCCCTCCTACTGTCTCATTCCTTCACAGTTTTGAATCTTCTACATTCACATGCAGGCTCAAACTCCTGAATCTCCATGAGGGGCCTTATCACAACCGAGCAGCTGCTGCCCCATTTCCCCTCACTTTATGAATATGTCATATATCCAAGGCTGGACTTTACTAAAGTTTCCGTATGCTAAGCAGGTGAGAGCAAGAGGATGCCGGGATGAGTCGGATTTTCTGGGATAATTAGTCGAAGGGGGAACTGATTAAATGTTTTGAGTCTCATATAAAAATGAAAATCACTTGTAAATATGTGCTTCTCAAGACATCATGTGGACTCGTGTATGCTGTTCCTATTATAAGGGATGATAATGTAATGAAATGCAAAGACTTTGTTTGAAAAATCTGGGCGAAAATGTTCAATAGTCTTCACATTCCCTCTTTTTCCCAATCACCACATCTGTCTCTCTTCCTCATTATTTGTAATCATTTTGTACTGTACATGCATGCACATCTAACACGTATAATATGTATCAGAATTCTTTCTCTCATGTGAGGGCACAAAAATGAATGCTCCAGCGCATATAAAGAGTATGACAGCTGGAAAAGCTCAGGGTGCCATGTACTTTGAAATAACAAGGCACCAGAAACCCTCTAATCACCTGGCATTTTAAACATGGGTGGTGGTGAGTCAAGGAGAAAATGCAGTGACAAGCAGCAGAACTTCTAAGGTACAGGCTTATGTGTGAGGATTTGAAAGACCACAGGCTGTCAGGTTTAGAAAAAGTGGTGTGAAACTTTTTACAACTTGTAGGTTCTTCCATGGGAAAAAGAGCCTTCAATAGAAATAGACCTGCTTTATGAATTTGCCTCGTACTGCATTTGCATGAATAGTTACATGTCCATTTTCCTCACACTCTACCTCTTTTGAGAGACTTCTTAAAGCTTTACAAAAGTATGACAAATTTTACAGTTTTACAAAAAAAAAGGGCTTATATTTCATCAAAATTAGCAGACTGGAGTTTTGATGTCACAAAGTGCAGCCATGCTTTTTTTTTATTGCAGCATTTGCCTGTGTCAATGCAAACTTCTTTGCAACATGCTAGAATATCGAAGCAAGAAAAGACACTTACAGTACAGCGCCCGTCTTTAATGACTAAGCCTTTGACTTAAAAGGCAACCAAGGTCTAACACCATAGCTTTCATTTTCTGGAGCAATCCAACAATAGGAATTCCTTCAGATAAATGCATTTCTAACTTAAATCTTATCTTGTCATTATCTACCAACAAGAACAGGATCCTTCTTTACTGAAACTACTAGACGAAGCTTTCAACACTTTTTTTTTCTTGCTTGAGTGAAGGTCAGGATGTTTCAGCAGCCCATACAGCAAATAAATAACTTGATAATTAATAGGAGCTAAACAACCTAGCTTTTTGGATTCTTTCAGCTTATTTCCACTTAAGCTTTGTGCAGGAAATGTGCGGTTAGAGCATCTTAAGAGGAGCATTAGAGAGGATTAATGAGCCAATAACAAGCAGACTAATGACAGCTTCCCTTTATTTAGGGAATAAGGCCCAAAGCCAAACAATTATCTGATCAGTTTCACATCCTATCCATATTTTTTGCCATTGATTGAATATAGTGAAAACCCATTTCACTTTTTGTTCTCAAGGCTGTGTTACTGGAAATATAAAACTTTACAACCAAGCAAAAATCTATTTTCTGTGCTCAAGTGTCCTGTATAATAAAGTTTGGCTCTCAGTGGATTTTCAATGTACTCAAAACTTTCAAAATTCCAAGGACACGACATGACATGACGTGCAAAATCATTTGTGCTCACTGGATATGCATAAATGAGCTTCTTTTTGTGTCTGGAAAGTCCAGGATTACTTAGAGCGAGGAAGGAAGAGAGAAAGAGAGATGACATCCAACAATGATGAATGATCACACTGGAAATGCAGACCTAGAATTAAGCAGTATGTTATATTGGAAACAGGATGTCCCTGAGCTTTTATGTGAAAAAAAAAAAAAAAATCATAGCCATAATGAATAAAAGTCATTTAAGACAAACAATTCACTGCATGAATCGTATGTATAGTGTGCAAGCAATAAATGACCAATAACCTTCATATTAACCAAGACAGTTAAATAATTAAATAGGTAGAGTAAGTTAACATTCATAAGTAAAATATTGACAATCTTTCCTCTGGGTAACAATTTGGACGTTTCTCTCAATTTCATCAGAGTCTGTATGTCCACAAAGATTAGTACTCTACATAACAAGTAAGTATAAGTATAGAATAAGTATATTCCAGACAGGAGTAACTGAATTATAAGGCAAAACCTTAATGAATTGCATCTGTGTAATTCAACCCACCACACAGCCCCGCCTCCCTTTGATTGTCAGCTGTTCTGCCCAGTGGCAGAAACTCAGAGATAACAAGCCCTAAAAATCCTCCAATGTGCGCAGCGATGGGCGGTGGCACTTTTACGCAGGCTCTCAAGTGTCTGAAGTTAAAAATCCTGCGCGCTATTCTCGTTGAGCATGTCGAGGGTCCGGGAGGATAGATGCATGGGAACCACCGTGTAGGCATCCAGCTGACTCCCAACACTTTTGGGATTTAAACTTTTTTGAGGAAAAAAAAAAAAAAAAGGACCGGAGTAGGGCTCAATCTCTCATTGGCAGAGTGACAGTTTTCGGATGGTTTGGATCTCATCCGTTGCCAAGATGCTCCATAGACTTCTCCTGTGTTTTTCACTCACAGGTATCGTTTTCACGCAGCCTGACAGCGATGGATTATTTTACGCACTGAGATCTGAACTGTCAGAGGATGCAATCTTGGTGGCAAATAACGGAATACGCGTGCCTTTCGGAAGAGCAGTCTTCATCGATCCCATCAATGATTTGGTGATTCAGACGCAGCCGGGAGACCGGTGCAGCATCACCGTCTTGGATAACGATCCGCTCTCACAGAGACCGGGGCATCTCTCTCCCAAAAAGTTTCCTTGTGATTTCGGTCCCAATGACGTGACATACTCCCACTACGGCTCGAGGAGTCCGGCCAAAGACAGAGTGAGGCTGCAGCTCAGGTATGACGCGCAAACAGAAACCGTTATAATCCCGTTTATGATGGAGGTTGAAGTAGTTTTTACTCAGCTTGAGTTACTCACCAAAAACATGCCTCTCACTGTCGATAATCTCAAAGGGACCAGTAACCCTATTGATAAGAAGATTGTAGAGTTTACCTATGATAGAGACTCACACAAATGCGAGGTGTCCTCCCTGTCCAGTGGCAGCACGCTTCCAAGATATGGGAGACTCGTTGACGCGGGTAAACTTTCCAAGATGATGGACTGTGATGAATTCACACAAGCTGACATCCGCTACGAGCACACGTTTGGGCTGAAGTCTCCAAACAGGGACTATGTGCCCATGGTTGTAGAGCTGCACGATAAGGAAGGCAACCTAGTGAAACAGGAGTATTTCCATCTCATGATTCGTATCAAAGAGGGAGAAGAAAACACTCCCCCCAAACCCAGCTTTGTGTCCATGATGATGATGGAGGTCAGTCAGTTTGTCATGACAGCACTCACTCCTGATATGATCGCTGCTGATGATGCCGAGTCAGACTCAGATGAGCTCATTTTCAACATAACTTCTCCTCTGTCTTATGAGGAGGGCTACATTGTTAGCACAGATGATAGAAACCTCCCCATCACATCCTTTTACCAGAGAGACCTGCGTGATTTGAAAATAGCCTACAAGCCCCCCTCCCTGGACTCAGACACAGAGAGGATTTTCCAGCTTGAGTTTGAAGTGGTGGACACAGACGGGGCTGTCTCAGACCCATTTGCTTTTATGATAGTCGTGAAGCCGATGAACACCTTGGCCCCAGTTGTGACACGTAACACGGGTCAGCTGCTGTACGAGGGACAATCTCGGCCTCTCTTCAGTGCCGACAACTTGGAGATCAGTGACGAAGACAACCTGGACTCCGTCACCATCACAGTAGTGGATGGGCTGCGCCATGGGGACCTCATGGTGCTTGGTTCTCAGAGGAAATTATTCACGCCAGCTGATCTTATAACCGGGGTTGTTGTGTACCAACATGATGGCAGTGACACATACAGTGACAACATTGTGTTTAAGATGTCGGATGGGAAAAATGAAGTAGAATTCCTGTTCCCCATTACAATTGTTCCCACTGATGACGAGCCCCCGATTATAAACGCAAACACTGGCCTGGTGCTGTTCAAGAACCAGATGATGCCAATATCTCCACTCATGCTTAGCGCTGCTGACATCGACTCTGAGGACTCAACTATTAAATTCACCATCGTCCCTCCCTTTTCTACCATTGGCACAGTTCTCTTAAGGCAGTCTGATGCCCCAGAAGACCCCTCCTCTTGGAAATTCAATGCTGAGGATGAAGTGTATGAGAAAGAAGTGACAGAGTGGCTACAGAAAGATATAACCGATGACAAGCTGTTCTACAAGCACACAGGCCCCCACAACACAGACACCATCATGGATCAGTTTGTGTTCACAGTTCAGGATGACAATGACCCCCCAAATGAGTCAGGAGAGAGTGCTTTTATTATTCGGGTTTTACCCATTGATGACGTACCCCCCGAGCTTTTCCCAGGCACCACCCTGCAGATGACTGTGCAGGAATACAAGCTCACGCACTTTAGCAAAGAAGTTCTGCGCTACACTGATCTGGACTCTGAAGACCGCGACCTTAAATACACTGTAATCCAGCCCCCTATAGACACAGATGAAAACAACCCTGTTGTTTTTGGTTCTCTGGTTCTGACAGACAGCCCTGACACTGAGGTCACAGAATTCACACAAGCTCAAATAAACCACCATAAGATCTCCTACGGTCCCCCAAATGTGGAGCTTGGAATTACTGCCCACGTCGTTCAATTTCGTTACACTGTTGAAGACACGGCTGGTAACAGCGTCGAAGGGGCTTTTACTATCTTCATCCAGCCAGTCAACAACAAGCCCCCTCAGATTACAAACACTGGCTTCACGGTGTCTGAACGAGGTATGCACATCATCAGTATAGCTGAGCTAGAAGCCACAGATCTAGACACAGAAAAGGAAGGGATTACATTCACTTTAAGCCAGCTCCCTATTCATGGCCAAGTCCAGGTCGCTTTTACTGACCTAGAGAAAAAAGGTGTTTTTGGACTTGAGGAAATCTCAGAGGGAAAGATTTCATACACACACAGTGGGGAGGAGACGGAGAGTGATGAATTCCAGCTGGATGTAAGCGATGGGATTCACGTTGTAACAGTGACAGTAAAAGTTAATGTAAAGCCTGTCGATGATGAAACGCCAACCATCAGCCTGCCTGCTGGAACAATCGGCTCTCTTATGGATGTGCTGGAAAACGGAGCCACAGAAATCACTACTAATGTCATCCAAGGCCATGATGATGACACAGATGACCTCCAGCTGACCTTTATTGTGGAAGATCCCCCACGTATGGGTGAAATATTGGTCAAAGGAGTGCCTGCCTCTAGGTTCACGCAGGCTGACATTATTAATGGTGTTGTTATTTACGCACATACAGGTGGTGAGATAGGTCTCGCCTCTCAGCTGGATGGTTTCAATTTGACCCTCACAGACATGTCGGATGAATGGACGGTAGGTGGAAATAAGGTCAACGGAGTGCACATTCGAGTCACTATCCTTCCTGTTGACAGCCAGGCCCCTGAGGTCGGAGTTGGGATTCAATTCAGTGTCATTGAAGGGGAGAAATACGCCATCGGCCCTCAGCACTTGGACGCTGATGATAATGACACTCCAACCGATGACATCCTTTGCACCATCATTGTCCAGCCGACTGCCGGCTATGTGGAGAATATATCACCGGCCCCGGGCTCAGAAAAGTCCAGGTCAGGAACAGCTATCAGTGCCTTCACCATCAGAGACATCAGGGAGGGGAATATCTACTTTGTTCAGAGCATCCACAAAGGGGTAGAGCCAGTGGAAGACAGGTTCACATTTAGGTGCTCTGATGGCATCAATTTCTCAGAGAACCTTTTTTTCCCGATTGTAATCATCCCATCAAATGATGAAAAGCCAGAAATTTATCTGAGAGAGATAGTCGTGATGGAGGGAATGAATATCGTTATCGATACTCCTATTCTGAACGGGGCGGATGCAGATATTCCACCTGAAGAGCTGATGTTCATCATTTCCAAACCTCCTAAACATGGTGCCATTTTGAACCAGCTACCCACAGGCTCAGTTGTGGTGACTAATTTCACTTTAGAGCAGATAAGGGAGGCATCAAGTATTATTTATGAGCATGATGACTCAGAGACAACAGAGGACAGCTTTGATGTCACTTTGACTGACGGAAAGTACTCTGTGCAGCAAACAGCCATGGTTTTGATCATCTCTGTTGACGACGAGACCCCCAGAATGCTTATCAACGACGGCCTGGAGGTGGAAATTGGGGAGACCAAAGAGATCAACAACGAAGTACTCAAAGCAACAGATTTAGACTCTGATGACAGTACGCTCACATATATTATCCGGTTTGGGCCAGGTCAAGGTCTCCTGCAGAGAAAAACACCCTTTGGGTCTCTTGAGAACATCACGTTAGGTATGAATTTTACACAAGCTGAAATTGATGCAGGGCTTATACTTTACTCGCACGACGGTCAGGAGGGCATCCGAGACCTGGTCAAGTTTGATGTCACTGATGGAATGAACCCACTGATTGATCGTTACTTCTACATTACTATAGGCAGTATTGACATGGTGTTCCCTGATGTTGTCAGCAAAGGTGTGTCACTGAGAGAAGGTGGAAGAGTGACTTTGACCACCGATCTTCTAAGCACAACTGACCTCAACAGCCCAGATGAGAACTTAGTCTTCACTGTGACAAGGGCTCCTGTCAGAGGCCACTTGGAGTGCACAGATACTCCTGGGATGCCGATTGTGTCTTTTACCCAACTCCAATTGGCTGGCAGTAAGATTTACTACATCCACACATCAGACGACGAGGTGAAAATGGACAGCTTTGAATTTGAAGTCACTGACGGCTACAATCCTATCTTCAGAACATTCAGAGTCTCAATCGTTGATGTTGATAACAAGAGACCTGTAGTCACTGTCAATGGTTTAATTGTTACAGAAGGGCAAAATAAGTTGATTACACCATTTGAGCTCACTGCTGAGGATCAGGACACAGTGGACAAACTGCTGAAATTCACCATCACCCAGCTTCCTGTTCATGGTAAACTTTTTTACAACAAGTCCACTCCTGTCACCACCTTCACCAAACAAGACCTCAATGAAAACCTCATCAGCTACAAACACGATGGAACCGAGTCACCAGAAGACTCCTTCTCATTTACTGTCACTGATGGCACACACACTGACTTTTATATTTTCCCGGACACTGTTTTCGAGACTCGGCGCCCTCAAACCATGAGGATCACCATTGTGGCCATCGACAATGGTATCCCCCAGATTGTGGTGAATAAGGGTGCCCACACTTTGAAGATCCTAGCCACAGGTCACCTGGGGTTCCCCATTAGCTCCAAAGGGCTGAGGGTCGAGGACAGAGACAGCAGACCGCCCTCCCTGATGTTCCACATCACCACCCAGCCCAAACATGGCTACATCGTCAATCTGGGACAGGGAAACAACTCCATCGACACATTTAGTCAAGGTAAGCCCTGAAAAAACACCAAACAGAGTTTGACCTTTGTCTTTTGCACAAGTATATGTGGATGAATTTATAAAAGGAAAATGGTTTTGTGAAAAGGTACTCCCTGGATGAGTGATCATAAAAACAAAAGAAACAATTGTTGTTTAAAGTTGTCACATCTGATATCAAATCTGACAGATTTTACTCTATTTAATGTTAAAACAAAGTGTGTTAGTGTGAATCTGATATGATCAAAATGCCTTTCAATATTTACATTGTAAAAAATGATATAGCTATGCTTGAACCGTTTTTTTAATAATCATTTTAAAATCATAGTGCCCTGATGTGTGATGTGAAACTCTAACCTCAGAAAAAAGTTAAAAGTTAAAACTCTCCTGCAAATCAGTAAGCATTTATTAATATCTCACACTGCATACCAAAGGTTTTAATTTATGGAGTAATAATTATTCGTATGTGTGACAAGTGTAGGCTTGGGATTTTCAATAGTTAATTTGTGGGCCTGATTTAGATGTGCTTTGCTCATCAAATCATAATTAGCAGACCGAAGTTAGAGGCTGATGTTTCACGCAAACGTCTTGTAGACGGTTTGAAATGAATAATTTATCATTTCGGCATCTCTGGAGAAATGTTCACATCTGATGTTCCCTACAGTGGTTTGTTAAATGAAGCGGGACAGAAGTAGAGGATCGTGTGAAAAGGTCAGTGCCGACCTTTTAGTGACAGCATGGCATTTGAGTGAGAACACATTTTTAGGGTCAGTTCAATTCATGGCAATTTTTTGCATCTAAAAATTTGCTCAAAAATCAAACTGCCCATATTCCCCACAAACATATGGAGCCAGATGTGTAACGTGAAATATGAATTTGCAATCATCACGTGTGCATGTCTATTGGTCTATAATGACGACCAAATTAAGACAACAATGCCACTGATTGAGGTTTAAAGCGATGCAATCAATGCAGTATTTTGTGCTGCGCAACAGCAATCAAACAAACAAGTAAGGAATTCACCTGCTCATGCCACAGCTTGGCGTAAGCACACGGGCTGAGAATCCCAGAGAGAAAAACAGCTCTTCAGTGTGCAGGGGACGGACACTTCTGACAACCACTGTGCGGCTGCAGTCTTTGAAAAATAAAGGCACAGATGAGACAAGTGGCGGCGAGAGAGAGAGAGAGGCAAAGGGGCAGAAGAGGCAGCTGAGAGAGCAAGTAAAGTGGAAGAGAGTGCAAAGGAGGCAGAGGAGAAGGGGGGAGGTGTAGGTGGCATGAGAGAAATAAAGAATGAGGCGAGGGGCGTGAGAGAGTGACTGAGAGAGAGAGAGAGAGCAAACAGGCTCGTCAGAAGAATCAGTCAGGTGAAAGAGACAATCCCTCGCTCTTTATTTACTGTGCTTATTTCCAGGGCACATCCCACGAGGCTTTCCCTTTAAATATTTGATGAACATGGTTGCCCCCGGTTCACAGTGTTGACTTTAAATTTGCAAGGTCCTCGAGTTCAAGGCTGCATCACCACACTCCGGAGAACAGCCTTTACTTGTTCCCCCTCCTGTGCGATCAACTTAAAGGTCACCAGCCTGAAAAGATGAGCTCTTCCCTGAAAGTAGAAGTACTTTCCCCAAAAAATGTTCTATAATGTATAATGAAAAGTTGTCATACATATTTCTGTCTGTGTCTTCATGTTTGAAGAGAGGCAGGAGAGGCAGCTATGACAAGAAGCCACCTAAGAGATTCAAAACTCACCCCAGTCGGGAGTCAGGGCTTTATACTTTTATGAAGCTCCTTCTTCCGACATCTATTATTGAAGGAGGTGGTTTGCAGGGGCCAAGCCCTTTCACAAGTCTTGATGATTTTTCTACACTGTAATAGATGTTTCTTGAGAATGGCGGAAAAAAAATAAGGACAGTGAACCCTGTAATTCAGAGAAGTTAGGAAAACAGCTGTGGAAGTGTCTCCGCTGCGAAGCCTGTTTTTAACATTCTTACCCTCGCCTGTCATTAGAAAATCCACTGTCACCTGGTTTTTAGGGCTGTTGACACAGAGAACTGTCAGGCTTGCGGATTTAAACGTTTACTGTTGGTTTAGCTCGAGCCGTCTCTTGGATTTGAGGTGGTGGCTTTATCGTCCTGTATTAAAGATGCATGACTTTCCGAATGTTTTCTCTGGTAGGAAATTGTTCATGCTGAGTGCTGATAAGGAGCAGAATCAGTGTGATACTAGAGACCTGCTGTTTCTGTAGCTGATAGGGGGCTGAAGCGGGACAGCTTCTATCTTTGAACAATTATTTGACAGGGAGAGTGTTTGAACAGTCCATAATACAACTTCAAAGTGTGTTTGAGGCACTTTCTGCAGCCAGCATGAAACATGTTTTAATCTTAAAATGCAAATTGTTCCATAAATACTTTTTTTTTATCTTAACAAGGGCAAATCTTTCTAATATACAATTTCTAACATAGCTATCACCTTGCATTAACTCTGAGGTGATAATTAACATTCTAATCATGCACTGTGTCACACAAATATGGCAGCGTTACCCTTTTTAGTTTCAAATTCACAATAGTACACTGGCCCTCATTAGCATTGATTACATCAAAATATTTGCTTGTCATTTCAGTGTTTTTTTTTCTCCCCTCGGTGTTCTTGAGGTGTCAGTTTTAACCACTTTTGAATAACAAAATCTTTTGCAATGCCTTCTCCAGCCCTGATTTTTTCATGAAGTTTTGTTCGTCCATAAAACTTAAGTCTGTCTCCTGTTGCAGCCGATATTGATGACCTGAACATCTGCTACGTGTTACGGAATGAAGAAAATGCCACAACGGATGTCTTCCATTTCTCTGTGGAGGATAACAGTAAGTTTGAACATTTTTTACTTCTTATCTCTGCAGAGGTTTTGCCATTTTTTTTTTTCATGCACCCAGTCTTTTAAACACAACGGGCAGAGGGGTCCTGAGTGTGTAGCCAAATGACATTTCGACAAAATGTTGATAGAGACAAATTGTCTCAGGTGAAGATCACACCTGTCACTTTTTTAGGAGTTGTGTGGTCTCTCTAACCTTTAGACTCTTCCTTTCAGGGAAATTCTGTAACTCTGCTATTTTCTCCCAACTCTCTGCAGAGGATCACTCATTACTCAAACAGAAACTTAAAACTTTTGATTTGTTAAGCATCAAAGTTCTGCTAATAATAGGTTTCATGTTGTTAATTAGTCTTGACAGATTTAACAAACACTCCTTTCTATTTGTTGTTTGTGTAAATAATCACTGAGCTACATAAATCAATCCATGTCAGCTTCCGATTGGGGAGCTGACTGATATCTGTACTGATTTGAATTGTATCCAGGATGTGCCTGTGCACTAAACTGCCATTTAGAGCAGTTTAACATTTGAAGGTCAGAGTTTTAAATTCTGACAAAAATGCTGAAAAGCAAATAAATCTGCTGTAGCTAAAAGGTTTAGTGATAAGGCTAACAGGTTTATCAGGAATAGACTCATATTTCTGTGGTGCTGATATTAACTCATGTCATGTTCACACTTCCAATGATTTAATGTGACTACCTCTTTGTTAATATGACTACAGGATGTGTCGGTTAGTGTTAAACTAAAGTCTAGACGTGAGGGGATTTCTCACTCTGAACGCATAGAGAGGATGTTAGATATTGTACACATGGATGTTTGCAGGGATGGCTGGTATAAATGGAAGGTAGCTAGCAGGTGCATGGCCCCCCTTTCCTATACAATAAAGATGAGAAAATGATTATTCAAATAACTTACAATAGATTGTTTTACATTTTGGTGGAACTTATAGTCCCAACTATACTTATTAATTACAAGTAAAACGTGCAATATCTCTTAATGGGCGTTTTTTTTAAAAAGCTTAAGAACTGTAGCATCCTCTTCCATTCTCTTCTGTAGTGTAAATGATTGACAGGTGTATGGCACGCCCCCTTGATCATTTGGGCTAAATTCAGCCCACCCCACAGGTCACTGACTATTGCCCAATGTCACAACTTTAGGGTTACTGACTGTAGAGATGCTCAGAAACTTGCTTCTCTAAATTTAAGAAAGGTTGGCCTGCTAATGGACATGTATATGATGTGTTAGAAACAAGCCAACAGACTAAGATATACATCATGCCCCCTCCTACCCACAGAATGATGGATGGTTGTCATGTTACTTCTTCCCTTTCAAAAATTAGAATACTTCTCACAACGAGCATTTAGTTCTTGAAATGTAAAGCTATTTAAAAACATATTTTCATCTACAGAAACCGTTGTGTTATGAGAAGCACGAGGTGGAACAAGTTGTTCACTTCCCCATAAGTGCCTGGAAAAAAATGGCCACTTTAAATTCTGTGCATTTCATTCCTAATGTCTGCTTGCAATGTTTATAAAATTAGCATCTGTTTACCGAGGCGGAGGCTGATGAGCAATCAGCAATTGAGAGTCTGAAATAGGACATTTTCTGTCAGAATTCATCAAGCCCCGAAAAGACATCCAAATGTTTTAATACCCAATGGAAAAATGTTACAGTGAAATAACAATATATTACACAAACAAATACAAGACGACAAGCAAGAGCAGTGCACTCCAACTTCATAAATGCTGCAAACATCTAACAAGAGTGGAAGCATAAAAAAGTGGGACACATTGCAAATGCTAGAACACGTACAAAAAGTTGGTTGTCTTCGTCTTGTTGTGTCTTTATTGTTTTCTTATGTGTTTGGTCCTCTGGGGCCACCATAGCCATTGCACAATAAGGATAAGTGACTCATAGTGTTGTATGCGGTGTAAGTTAATAATCAAATAGAAATACATGAATGGCTAGATGTCTGGATTTAATATTAAATTACTGAACCACCCACAATTAATGCTTTCATGAAGCCTTCACATTGTGGTTTAAGTGTCATGATCATGGAGCCACAACTCCCACCACGCACTTATGATGTTTTGAAGCACTTAGATGACAGTGGGAGTTATGGGTTTATTGGCTTCTATTGGCTTTAAAAAAAAGTATCTGGCACTGTTGGTGACACAGATTTGAGACTAATTTAATCATTTCAGAATCATCATACCTCTAAAGTATGGGTGCAAGCGTGCACCTAATTCCTTGTGTTGCATTTGCCAAATCTGGCAGAGTTAACGATCACACTTATAACACACACATCACCCAATTTTGTGAATCGACTCCTGTCTTACAGCAGCACACATGGGTTCAGCTAGAGAATGCATTTGGAAAAAAAAAAAACATCAACACACTCTGGGTTCTCTCAGTTTGTCAATTTTCCTGCAGTACCATCAGATATTACAGTCCTGTGTAAAAGACTTAGCACTCACAGAACAATTGACGCACAACCCGTCGGCCTCCATTTCTGTGGGTATTTCAATTTAATTGACTTGGCAGAAAAGTTCTCAGATTCACATTCAGAGTTGCAGCCAAAAAACAAAATGCACTCAGTGTATACAAGTCTATACAAAGAATGAATGAGTATGAAAGCAAAATGATGACTTCACGGGTCCCTTTTCAAGGTTATTTTGTGCACCACCAGGGCTGTGTGTATTCTTTATAAAGAATTGATTTGGACTTATCAAGATTGTTACGAAACCTGGACTCATACTTTTGTGAATTAGCCTTAGAACCACTTTTCTGCAGTCATTTTCACACTATGGCACTCACGGTAATTAGAAGAAAATCATAATGTGTATAAGAATAACTTTCTGCACATGACAGACGAAACATTGACTAACTGGTTGTCCATGCTGCTGTAAATTGTTTTTCTTCTTTTCTTCTAAATAAAAAGAGGCGGAGGCTTTGAAAGCAGTTTATGGCATAAATCCACAAGTGAACTGGATCAGCTGGGGCTTTAATTCCTTCTCAGGAGAACTGGTGTTTCTTCAAAAAGTGACAAAAATTTGCAGAGGAAGGACAAAAGTATAAAAAACACACTGTGAACATGCCATTAAAAAGCAGAACTATAGTGGGTCATGTCTGCAGGCCATCAAAGTTCTCAGTGTCTTCAAAAAAATCCCCTAAAGTATACAAGCCTGTAATTTGCAGGACGAGCACATCATGTTCTTGTCATACATTAATGTACCTGTAAGCAAGAACACTTATTTACAGTATATACAATTGGAAGATGTGATAAAACAGTATTCCAGATGTGCACTTGTGAACCCTCATGCAACAATCCCAGACATGCATGCACAGAAGAGCTCTGAGGCATAGCCGTGGGCTAAGGTGCAGTCTGGCCTCCAGCACAAAGAGGTGTTTGATATTTAAGAGCCCAGGCAGCATTGTGAGTAATGAGAGCCCTAGGCGGATGAGCTGGGCAGAGCTCTGAGGCAGCCACTGGTAATTACGTGGCCCTATTAAAGGCTCATCTACAGAGAAAGAGTGGCAGGAAGCTGCCTATGTCTCAGGTAGAGAGCAGCTGTGATCACTATAGTTAACTGTAATGGGCTGAAACATGGCTTCTTTCCCAGGCTTCTCTTTGACTGAGAGATGTTCACAAAGTGGTAATGGAGCAGAGGAAACAAATTGATTTAAGGAGCATGAAAACTAAACAAGACAGAAAATCCTTATATTTGATCTGTTTAAGATGTTTTTCTATTTCTGCTTTGTATATCACAATATATCAATTACCACTCTGTGTTGGCAGTAGCTCAGTCTAGGGTCCTGAGTTGGGAACCTTATGGTCGCAGATTCAAGTCCTGGGGCAGACCATAGTGTACTCCAACTTCCTCTCAACTGGTCCCTGTGTGAAGCCCCCTCACTCATTAATGCATGTCCAAAATATACCATTCAATTAACTTTTCTTTTTTTTTTTTTTTTGTCATTGACATTACAAAAATCCACTTTCTTCTTAATTGTAGTTGTGCAGATTGTCTTGGTTTTAGTTGTCCAGGTTTCAAGATATTTGTTTGTTTCTTCCAAAGGAGGGATACAGTACAGCTGAATTGAATTGAATTGAATTGAAACCTGCTTTAAAAGAATAACAGAAACACACTGTGTCTATCCATGAGCAATGAAGCAGTTACTCGGGGGTAACAGAGCTCACTTTTGATAGTTCCAATCAAAGTTGCAGCCCAGTAAAAAAAACGAATCATCGATGTTGCAGATCATTTTTTGATTACAGTGACTTGTTTCAACACCAAACACAAAATCTCATTTCCTCAATTGAGTTTTTGTGCATAGGAACTTTCAGAGTTGATCTTTTAAAAACCTGAGCAAATAACATCAAAGGTCTCTGCATGCTTGGATTCCTCTTACATTCTCCGACATGAAGGTGTTTGCTGAAAAGTCTGCCATGTTTCCTCTTGACCTCTCCTTTCATCCTGTGTCACATCAGACTGAACATTGTATTGACTGTTATAGAATGATTCCATGTCCTTGCCTGTGAGCAGCATAGACACAAATCTTCCTTATATGAAGTTTCTACAACAATACATCCTTAACCTGCATGTCTTTGTTATCATCTTAATTTCACTGCATACAGTTCATTGTACAGGCATTGTTTTCATCTTTGCAGGTATGTTATCTATATAACACAGTCCCCTGTGTGTTAAGTTTTCTTGTCAGTGTTAGAGCACCAATAAATAGAGACTATTCAGCAAGGGCACTTGTTCTTCATCATCACTCTTGTTGTGGGTGATTGTGGATCTGTGATGTCACTGTGACTTTTATTCTCACTTCAAAGGGACTTTTCTTCATAAAAGCAATGGCTACCCTTCTGATGAATCGTCCTCCTCTTGTTGCACTCTTCTCTGTTAGATGTGAAGAAGATGTTAAGTGAAGAAAATCATTTATGTGAATACTGATTTTCTTTCTAATGAATTACAGAATTCCGTCCTGGA